TAGGCAACAGTATTTGCCTTTAGCTGGGGTGGGGAAGGCTGACAGAGGAGGAGATTTAGAAGGAAAATCAGTAGTTCAGTGAGGGACCTCTTGGTCTGCAGTGCCTCATGCATATCTAAGTGGAGATGGTGAGGGGTGTCTGGGTGGCTCAGTCATTAAGCATCTGCCTTTGGCTCAGGTCATGATCCCAGGGTCCTGGGGTGGAGCCCCATGTCAGGCTCCCTGCTCAGCAGGGAGCCTGCTTCTCCCTCTCCCACTCCCCCTGCTGGTGTTCCCTCTCTCACTGTGTCTTTTTCTGTCAAATAAATAAATAAAATCTTAAAAAAAAAAAAAAAAAGTAAGTGGAGATGTTGGTAGGCAATCCAAAGCCTGAGCCCTGGGCCATTGCAGTGTTTAGAGATTGGATTCCTTCCTCACGGTCAGCCAGTACATAGGTACCTTTCCCACTTGTTGGCTAAGTGCCTTTGCATTGGCTAACTCAAGAGGTTTGCTTCCCATCACTTCTGGACAACTTCTCGGCAGCCGGGGCCACGTGATTGTCATTAGTGTTCCATGCGTCTAACCCAGCAGCACTTACTTAAGTGCAGACCTGGCCTGTGGCCAAACTTCCAGCTGTGCAGAGCCTTCCGGTTGGCTGTGCATCTTGTCAGACCTGTAGGGCATGGGGAATCGTCCAACAAGGCTGACTGAAAGGATGGAAGCAAGGTGGTCCTGTTTCACAAGTTTGAACATGGTTCCTACTACATGTTCCGGATTCACTGGACCTGTCAAATTCCTGGCTACTACCCGTATTTATTAGGACAACAACAACAACAAAAAGGAGAGGGAGGAGAAGAAGAAGAAACCTGCCATGAGTTAAGCACTTTTCCTTCCTACTAACATGCCGGGAATGTTTATTCTTCCAGGAACATGTGGCTAATGTCATTTAAGCAGCTCTTTGAAGGGGTGACAGTGCCGACAGGGCCAGCAGGCCATAGCTGAGGGCGGCAGATTGGTGGGACCTGTTTGGTCTCCAGAGCACCCTGGCCCTGCCCCACAGCAGGTGGCCAGACTCAGGTCCCATCCGACAAGGCACATCAGCCCATCCAGCTTTTTCCAGAAGCCAAAAATGAAATCTCCTGATTCATACACATTTGCTCCAATAAAAAACAAAACCAAACTCAAAAAACTCAAAACCATTGCAGGCCAAACAAAACACATCTCCCTCTCGCTGGCCCAAGTCCAGGATGCAAATGGCCAGTTTGAGGCCTCTGCTCTGGGACAGTGGGCCAGCTGGTCACCGTAATACTTGTACCTCCCCCCATTACTGGAAAATAGGGCCACTATCAGGGCCATTGGAATGGAGATAATGGAGGAACCTCTGTTTCAATCCCCCGTTCTACCGTTTACCAGCGCTGCAACATTGGCCAAACAATTGGTTAACCTCCCTAAGCCTCAGTGTCCTTATCTGTAAAATGGGGATAACTGTGTTACTCATCCCTGAGATCTGTTGTGAGGATCCAGTGAGATAATATATGTAAATACCTAGTCCAAAGTTAGTGTTTAATCAGTAGAGGCTGTTATTATTCAAATAGTATCTGTAGAAATGCTGGGAGAACTTAAAAGGAAGCATTGGTTATTCATCGCCCTGAGGGGCAGTGGCACAGCAGCTAGACCAGGAAACCCCTCGCTTTGTCCCTCCAGCAGTGGGAGGCAGCAGGCCTGTTCCACGAATGGCCTCACTCAGCCATCTCACCTTTATTTTGTTCATGAAAGCAATGGCAGTGATAATATTCCTGACGTCCTGGGACTGGCTGTGCAGGACAACCCAGAGCTGTGGCCCCACAGCTTCCCTGGGAGCTGGTGTCAGGGACTGGCAGCCCTCCCCATCCAGGAGACTAAGGGGAGCTAGGGAAACGGACGCAGAGTTTTCGTCTTCTCCTTCGAGAGCAGTGAGGGATGAGTGCGCGCCGTGCCTCTTGCCTGAAAGCAGGACCGGAGAGGTGTTCATCTGAGGTTGGACAGGGGAGCCCCGTTTTAGCTCTGGCCCCTGAGCCCCATTGGTGCTTCTCATTTTGAGGCAACGGCTCGGTCCAAGCTGCTCCTGCACACAGCTCTTTGTTCTTTGTAGAAAGCACTGCCAGGCACACACTTGGCTTCCGATGGCCCATTATTTGAGGCTTAGAGTATGGTAACAGGCTTGCAACAACAGACTCCCCCTCCCCCATGCAGCTGAATATTTGGTTACGCGTTCCTGTACGACCAGTGGGAGAACCCCAGGGATGATCTGCGAGCCGTGCAAGTCAGCAAGTCCATATTGGAGCTGGGGAAGGCTGGAGCCTTCCAAGGGCATAGGCAGCACCACCCAGGAAGGCCCACCAGGAACCAGAGCCACACATCAAAATTAGACAGAGCACACCATCGGCCTCACACACTGCAGGAATGCCACCTCCCCACACACCGAAGAGACAAGGGACCATGCCTTGCTTGCACTTCGGGGGTGTTAGGAGGTGTTTACTGGATTGAATTCGGCAGTCCTATTTGTGTCCAATGCTGGAAGATTGTGTGTATACTCCGCCCCTCCCACCAGCCTTCCCAGTCCCTAACCACATGGCTCCCAGACCATCCTGATGAGCGAGCTTGTCGTGGAGCTCAGAGCACAAGGGTGCAGAAGTGCCCTAGGGCAGTTGTCTCAGCAGTTGGCCCTGGTGGTGATGAGCGGGAGTGAATGTGGTAGAGCCACGTGGCAGGGGCAGGGATCTCCCCGGACATACTCCACGTGTTCGTTTGTCGTTCACACCTCCCGCAACCTTGTGTCTGGCTCTGGGGCATTCAGCCCAGTGAGAGAGCGGAGACGCATCACAAGGAATTGGAGTATCAGGTAGAGGGCGTTGAGTGGAGCAGGTACAGGGCTGGGAGGGGTCGGCAGAGGAGCCAGCACAGGGACACCTGGGTGGAGCCATCTGTTAAGCGTCTACTCTTGGTTTGGGCCCAGGTCACGATCTCTGGGTCCTGGGATCGAGCCCCACATCGCGCTCTGTGCTCAGTGGGGAGCCTGCTTGTCTCCTGCTCCTCCTCCCACTCGCGTGCTCTCTTTCCCTCTCTCAAATAAATACATAGATAAAATACTTCGGGAGAAAAAAAAAGAAGAAGAGCCAGGATACAGGTTCATCTGATAAGATTTAGAGGTGACTGGATGTTTAACTAGGGCTAAGAGTTTCCAAGTCAGGGCCAGTGTGATGACAGAAACCTGACTGTTGAGACCCCTCTTAATGTGGAAACGCCTTTTCGCCTCCTTTCCAGTTGGCAGTCTTCTTGCCCCTCATCAGCCCAGTCACCACCCCCCGACTGTGCTGGAAGGTCATCAATGCTTCTTGGAAATGGTGGTTCACAGACTTTTCCATAGAGTGGTTGGGGGCTTGGGCTTCTGGGAAGACCTGCCTTTCCTGACCCTGGGACAGCTCTTTAACTTCTCTGTTAGCCAGTTTCCTCGAGAAAACTAAACTGTTCCCTAAGGTTGGGTGCCGGGAGGTGAGGTCCGAGGATCTGCTGGAAGGAGTTGAAGGTTTGAATGCCTGTGAAGCCCTCAGCACATGCTGGTAGCCTGTGGGGGTTCAACAGGTGCCACCATTGCTCCCCACAACTCAGCCTCACTGCCCCCTGTGTGCCGAGTGGCGTGCATCCGAGAGAGCTCAGACAGTAAGCAGTGTGCATGTCTCTTTCGTCTTTACCTGAGATGCTCGTGAGCATCTGACCGAGCGGGTGGATTCCCAGGATGGTAGCTTGCGAGGCCCATCCTCCTTGGAACGTTCGATTTCAGTCTGAGCCAATTTCAGGCTTGATTCACGTTCATAGCCCCTCAGCTACTAGCCGCTGGCCCAGAAAGCAGGGCTTCTCAGCACAGGCTCGGAGACTGCGAGGGATCGGGAACTACGTACCCTCCTGTCGGCCTCGCAGGTAAGCAACAGAACCATCAATGGAACCCCAACTCCATTGAACGTTAAACCCAGCTGAGGCAAAAATCGGCTGAGAGGGCACAGCCGGGCTCCCGCCTTCAGGCTGAGCAGATGCCTTCGGCCGTAAGAGCAGAGCACACCGCCCCACCCCAGCATCCCTAGAGAGGGGAATGGCTGTGGAAGCCCACAAAGTGATTTCTGTGGACTCTCCTTTTTGGGCTGTGACCATACCTTAGCAGTTATTAACAAGGAGCTTCCATCTGCTTTGGAAAGGCTGGGGTGGGAAGCCCCAGAGGCCATGGCGGGGCCGTTTCATTCCACCACACAGAGACTAGCATCCTTTCTGGGCCACCACCACCACCAGGGAAGGAAGGCTGGCCAGGCTGGGTTTTGCTCTGTTTTTCTGTGACTATATTTCTCTTGGTCTGGCAAGACAGGCCCTCACCTAGAATTCTCCCTCACCTTCTTTTTTTTTTTTTTTTTAAGATTTTATTTATTTATTTGACAGAGATCACAAGTAGGCAGAGAGGCAGGCAGAGAGAGAGGAGGAAGCAGGCTCCCTACTGAGCAGAGAGCCCAATGCGGGGCTCGATCCCAGGACCCCGGGATCATGACCTGAGCCGAGGGCAGAGGCTTTAACCCACTGAGCCACCCAGGCGCCCCCTCCCTCACCTTCTTTTAAAGACTCAATAAAGGGATGACGCAGAGGGAACCGGAAGAACATGGTACAGAAAGGCTCAGGGACCTGAGTGCAGACATGGCCCTCTGTGTCCGGCGAAAGCTGGCATGACAACTGACCACTGCTGTTTGCTTTGAGGGAGACATGAGTTACCTTGGAGAAATGTGAATTCAGAGTTGCTTTTGGCAGACATTACCACAAGTGTTGCCCCCAGCGGACATTGTGACTTCCCCGCAAAGAGCCCTGTTTTGGTGATCTCTACCTTTTGCCTTGAACTCTCCTAGGTAGAGATCTGAGAAGGGTGCTTTTTGTTTATCTCTTTGTTTCAGAGTAAACACTCACCTAGCATTGTCTGCCATCTGGGACAATGCTGGGGTGGAGGGAGGTCCCTGGCAGATCTCCGAGTTATCCCCTGAGTGCATGCCAAGCCATCTGAAGTGGAGAATGGGGGACTCTTTTCACGCCACTTTGTCTCTGCAAGTTGGTGGTGGTGTTTTGGTGTCCTTCCTCCCAATCACATGGTAAGAAGTGGAAGAAAAACAAACCCTGGTTAAAAAAGAACAGGAAGAGGAAAACCAAGAGCCTGTGAAAAGCCTTTTCCAGGCTGTCGAGGTCTGTAATCTAGGAGAGAAGCAAGAGGAATGACATCCCTGATGCTTGTTTGGCCTTGCAGGGCAGTGGGCAGTGCTTGGGGAGCCACTAGCCCCAGAAAATGCCTACAGGACAAAGTGACCGGCAGCCTGGCTTTGTCACTGCGAAGTGGGGTTGGGGTCCATGCTTTCCTGTAGTGTCGTAGCCCTCAGAGCCCCGAGAAGTTAAGCAGTAACTAGATACCCCCTTTCAGATCAGGAAATCTGCATGGCTCATCCCGTGTCCTGTCGCCGTCCTTCCAAACTCCTGAGGGCTCTGCAGTCATCATCATTTCAGTGTGGCTGAGGCATGAAAGGAAACGCATCAACTCATGTAACTGAGTAGCCAGGACATGTCGAGATCCAGGGATGTGCTACCCTGACTGGGCAGGTGGGGAGTAGGGGCTTGCCCCAGGGACTTAGACTAGAGATCGGGAGAGTCCCCATGGTGGGAGGAAGGATGGTGCTCTCCAAAGGAGGGGAGAGTAGAAGTCGGGCAAACAAAAACAGCAGATGTCCGCAACAGCCCTCATGTGCCATTTACAAAGCTCATCTTTGCTCATAGGCGGAATCTGCAGTGAGTCACCGCTGCACCCCACAGCGAGTGGCAAGGGAGCCGCAAGGAACCCAGATAGGAGCCCTCCCACAGATTGTCAGAGTCCCACCTGGTCTGCCTAGATGACAGAGCCTGTCATCCTGGGGCTGGAAGAGGAGAAGCTTAGGTGGCTTGAGCTGGCGAACGTCTTGTCTCTGAGCTGTCTGCCAGAGATGGTGGGCTCCAGTGCTCTTGTCTCCTTTCCTGTGCTTCTTGAGACCAGATCCAGGGCTATTGAACAGGGATCATAAATAATGAACAAACATTCGGTAGACAGGTGGGGAGAAGGGTTTGGTTTTGTTTTTTCCCCAAGGATTGAGCAGGATGAGCAGAGCTCTGCAGCCTCACTTGTGCCTTTTCCATAAAATATAATTAAAAAGCTGTGCACACGGCCCCCCAGTGTACAGTATTCATATATGAAACATAATGTACTAATAAGAATATTTAATTTCATTATGTCAGCAGAAGAAAGGGCAATCTAGCAGCTGCCCTAATAGGGCAGATGGGAAACCAGAAAGGTTCCTTAGATTTAGGCAGTAAAATCAACATTGAACCAATTTGCCTCACTCCCAGGCTCTTCTTAACTGTGTTTAATGAAAGCTCACGTCTTTACATAAGGCATGGTAAAAAGGGCTCAGAAGCCGTAAAGCTCTCTGTCATGTCTTCTTAACATAACCAATGAATTTAACACAGTGGCTTTGGATTTTCCAAGAAGTGAGCGTAGAATGTAGAGCGTAGGGCAACACAGGGTGTCTGTATGTCCCGACCCGTAGAAAACCTGTGAGAACCAAGGTCAGGGATAAAAGGGAATGAACTCACATCAGTGAGTGAGGGAGTAATTCTAATTAATATCAGTAGGAAAAGGGCCAAAGATTCTGGCCCCTAAGAAGGAAGACCAGTCAGCACCCGAGGTTGGGAGATGGGATTTACAGCCAGAGGTGGAGGTAGTGGGTGGGTGGGGGAAACACATTCATCCTGGCCCACAATTGAAAGGCCGGCTACCTTCCCAGGAAGGAGTCACGTGTAGAGCCACCATTTTAGAGCTGAAGAGTTCCTAAATAATCACGTTTCATTCAGCACCCTCAGCCAACGTTAACTGATCATTCATGATGTCTAGGCACTGCTTGGGGCAGTACGGTTGGTGAACAAGACCTATGGGACATGTCCAAGTTTGCAGACCTGGTCAGTGGTAGACCCAAGGCCAGGCCCCAGGTCTCCTGAGCAAACTGGGGCCTAAGCCATCACAGTAAATGGAGCGTTTCCTAAAAACACTGGAAGGATTAGGAAGCCAAGGCTATCCTCATAGGGGGGGTGCACCCCTAGCACCAAGGTGGAGCCCCAGGCCAAGGTGATGGCACTAACCAAAGAGGGCTAGGTCAGACTCCCCAGCTCTCTGGGCACTTCTTCTGCCCACTTGACCTGGGGTTGTGATGCTTGTTAGTGGTCACACTGCGTAAGAACCTGGGTCTTCTGTCTCCAAGTCCAAGACATAACATATGTCCCTAATCCAAGGCCAGGGTCCCAGGATTCAGACCAGCCCCTCTGCCATGAAGAGAAAATGGAACAGGGCTCTAGAAGGCAGTGCTCTGAGCGTCACACCGTCCTGGAATGAGGGCTGGCATGCGACCCCCCTCACCCCCGGCACCAAGAGTCTTGGGAAAGGCAAGGTCCACGCTGTTTTCCAGATAATGGCAGCAGAGGCTCTGTCCTGGAATCACAACAAGTCCTGGCCTTGCCCCTGGCTCTGTCTGGTGACAATTGGCAGCTGACATCACTGCTTCTGGCCTGAGTTACCCCTTATTAAAACCGGCATCTTTATAACAGATTTCTGCAAGTCACTGTCAAAGAGACATAGCCCTTGTTTTGTACCAGTCATTCCCCTGGGGGACTGATTGGTTTAATACCATTATTTTAAATACCCTTCTATTCTATGTTATTCTAAGAATATCAAGTATTAAATATAGTCTTAATTACTAAGGGATCTCATCTATTTTTTTTTTATCTCATCTATTTTTTAAATAACTTTTCTCAAACCATACAACTTCATCCCACCATGAAATAGCTAGATTTTAAGTTGGTTCTTTCTTCTCTTTTCAAATAGTTGAAAGGTCCCATTTGTGCTCACATGCTTCGCTCGAGCCCAGCCTGTAAGGCCAGGGGTCACCCAGGCTTTAGCTTGTCCCGTCCAGGTTTTATAGCTTTCTGCCTTTATTAGGAGACATGGGCTCATGGTCAGGCAGCCTCCCCAACAGCTGACTTTGAAGCTGGGGCAAGCTCCCGTCCACAAGCAACCCGAGAGTCCACTGACTGGGGCACAGCCGAATGACTCAGGCCCCACTCAGATGATGGGACACCAAGCAGCCAGTGACAACTGCTGGGTGATACGGAGGCACACCGTGTGATTCTGCTTCAGAAGACAGTGCTCTCACGGGCTCTCAGATAATAGGACTGAAATATACACTAACATGTGGATGGTGCTTTCCTGCAGGTGGTGGGATGATGGCTGATTTTTTTTTTGGCTTTCTTTTTTGCTTAGCTGTATAAGTTGGAATCCCTATGTGTTCCAACAACAGGCCTTTCCGTCAGAGCTGGACAAGTCAGGGAAGGAGGAGGGAGAGCTGCCATTTAAAAGTGATCCACACCTAGAGCAGAACCAATGGCAGAATTCACAATAGTTTATGGGGGACACATTTTTTTTTTTTAATAGGTGGGAGTTGTTTTAATGCATATTATGAAAAAATGTAAGTTTTACAATAACCCTACAGGATTAGCTCCCCACTGCCCTCATTATCCCTATCCATTACAGCCCCACTGGCTCTTTACCATTCTTCTAATGCACAGGGTGCCACAGGGCCTTTGCACTTGCTGTTCTCTCTATTCGAAGTCGTCTTCCTCACATATATGTAAGGTTGGGTCTTCATCATTCAGGCCTCATTTTCACACACCACCTCCTTTCCTGGCTCCTAACTCTAACCCCCATCACTCTATCTTCTTGTGTTTATCACTCTATATCATTTATTCATTTAGTTCTTTATTTTCTGTCTTCCCCAGCTACACAGGGAGTCCTTTGAAGTCAAGGGCTATGTTCGTCCTGTTCACCACTGCCTGTATGAACAGCACTTGACACATTGTAGTCAGTTCTGTGGATGGGAGGAAGAGGGAACCATCCCCTTGAGGATAGTTCTGGCTCTGCAATTCAAGGAAGCTTAGACCAAAGTGAACCTTCTGACCTCCCACCAGGGACTCTGGGTCCCACTGCCTCAGCTCTCTTGGAACTCTGGGAAATCAGAAATCAGGGTCTCAGCATAGTTACCTTGTAAACACACACATTTCACCTCTGCCCAGTCAGGGGTCTCTAAGCCAGTCATTCAAAACATGGATATCCTCTGCCCCCCACTCCCAGCACCTCATTAATTTAGGTCAAGGCCCTGCTGCCCTGGGTTGGAGAGGGACCCAGACCCAGGAGACAAGAGTAGAAGTGTAGCCCTGCTTTGGCACTGATCAGTCTGTGACTTTTATACCTTTTTTTTTTTTAAGATTTTATTTATTTATTTTCCAGAGAGAGAGCAAGGGGAGAGCAAGTGCACAAGCCAGGGGAGTGTCAGGGAGAGGGAGAGGGAGAAGCAGGTTTCCCCACTGAGCAGGGAGCCTAATGTGGGACTCCATCCCACGACCCTGAGATCATGACCTGAACTGAAGGTAGATGCTTAACTGACTGAGACACCCAGGCATCCTGGTCTGTGACTTTTAAATCACACCAGCAGTTGGCAATTAATGGGCCTGACTGGGTGCCAGGTCCTCCCCACACATTCTTTAATATTGCTGACTGCCCCATTATCCCCACTTGACAGAGTGGAGACCTGGGCTCACAGAGGTTGACAACCTGCCTGAGTCCACACTGTTAGCAATAGGAGAGTTAGGGTGTGTCCAGCCCCTAACAAGTGCTCGTTATCTATTTGTGGAATGAAGGGAGGGAGGGAGGAAGGAAGTCAGTCAGCCAGTCATCGAGGGACCTGGGGCTGCTGCAAGGCTGGAAATACCCACCTCCCATGCACCTCCGGCCCTGCACACACAGTACCTTCTGGCCCCCTGTTGACTGCTCTGCTTAGTCCTCACTCTTGGTGGCATCCACAGACTCAGGGGCCAGGGTCTCCTGCAGGTCGCACCGCACTGGGCAGGGCACTTGGACCCTCTGTCAAGTGTAAGTAGACACAAGAACCGTCGGTAGGAGCTTCCCCAGGGAAGAGGAGAGGTCGGGCTTTCAGCAGTGCTCTAGGCCCCTTGTCTTTGGGTGCCTCCCCTCAAGCTGGTCTGCTATTCCTGCCAGTACTCTCAGGCTGGCTGGTGTTTGCAACCTTTCCCACACTGGTTTAACTTGCTGTTTACATGTTTTCCAGGAAGTTGGGTGGAACCCTCCCTCCGGAGGAAACATCAGACCTCCACCCACACCAGATCCAGAGCAGCCCTCCTGACTGGGATCTCTGGCTTCCAGGCTTCTGTTCCTTCAGCACCCATTTCCCCAGCACCCCGTGTGCCTGCTGGGGGTGGGGAGGAGGTTCTGGAAGACACGCAGGGACCGCATAGAGAGGGCCACCTTGGCATGTGCTGGTCCCCCTCTCTGGAGTCCTGTCTCCCTGTGTGTGTAGCCAAGCCCATGCTGTAGGGCCTCCTCTTGTATCTCTTGCTGCTGGTATTTTTCTTCTTGGTGGCATTCACTCCAATTATAATTTAATTACTCATTTGTGAAATTGCTTATTCAGTGTCTACTTTCTGCAGTAGAATTCAAGCTCCATTGTGTCTTCCCGATCCCTCTTAGCTCCCCAGCCCCTGGTACCGTGCCGGTAGTAGCTACCCAAACAGTGTGTAGAAAGTGCATTAGCGAATGTGTGAATGAATGAATGGACAGAGATGCTTACAGAATACCCTCAAAGAAGCCTCCAAATCATTGGGAACTAGAGATTTTAAGACAGAAGTGGGGGAAAAAATCTTTCTGCTTTGCAACCGATAGATGTTTTTCTCACCTGGTGTCACCCACCCGTCCCCTACCTCACAGGAGCACTACGGGAATTCAGAGGCACAATGGGGAGGCCTCTGGGAATTCTGTCCCTGTTCTGCCACAAGCTAACCATGTGCCTGTAGGCAAGTCTTCTCTCTAAGTCAATGGTTCCCTCCTGGAAGATGACTATTTCTGTGTTGGCTCCAAGGAGAAACATTTCCCTGTCGCAGGCAGAGGGCCCCGTGGTAGGAGCATGTCCTCTGTTATCAGATGGCCCCAGCATTGATTTGGCAGTTCGACGGTGTCACTGGGAAACCCCTGGAGCCCTTAGATCTGCCATCTTCAGGATGCTGGCATTTAACCTCAAGGTCACAAGATGGCTGCCATGGTGCCAGTATTCACTTTCTTACACAATCACATAGAGAGGCAAGAAGCCAGGGAATGGCTGATGGAGGGACAGCCAGGAGCAGGGGAGCAGTGGAGTAGGGAGGCAGGAAAGCTGTTCTCAAAAGCCTTTCTCTTTAGACCAGAAGGAAAACCATTTCTCAGAGGCATTTCTAGCCAGCTTCCCTTCAGTCTTACTTGAACTGGATCTACACGGTCACTCGTAGCTGCAAGGGAGGCCGAGAGAGGACCTCACCATGGTGAGAAGGGAATGGCTGTTGGGTGGCAGTCCAAGTGTCTGACACACAGACCTTTCATTTGGCCCTAGGCAGATACCACCTTATGTCGTTAGCATTCGTTTTCTCAACACGTACCTTATCGTCCAGAAGGAGGGCCCCAGGGAGGCAGAGACCAGGCTTCACGGGCTTCAAGTTCTGATAAGACCTTACATCAGGCTGAACCCAAGTGAAACATGTCAGAAAATTCCTCTTGATTAATGACTCTCCCCCTTTCTACTCTAGTCCTCTCCCCTGGCCAAAATGATGCCCCTGGTTAGACATGAAGTGTCTATTTCCCACTGGGAAGTATGTGTTGTTCTTTCAAGTAACAAATGCGAACTTTTTTAATGGAACAAAACAAACATGTAAATAAAAGAGGGAAAAAGTCACTGAATGCCATTGCCCAAAAATGATTATTGACAATATATTGTTAAGCATCCTGTCCCCTCCCTTCTACTCCCTCCACACCCCTTCTTCCTACCGACATCATCACACAAATGTAGTTTTATAAAACTGGCTGCAGAGGACACACATTATACTCTCCTGGTGTTTTCATGTTCCAGTCCTGTCCGGGCCCCGTGCTGTCTCATCGGTTCTGTGGAGCCCCTCGTTGCTGTACGTGAGTCATGGACTCACTGGCATCTCACCATTCACTGTTGGGTTAAAAACATGTTCTGTGCGTCCAGGGAGGTCCTTCCCCACCCCTGCGAGGTAAGGGGGTGGCTCCAGGGCCATAGCCCCACGGCTGACCACATCTCCCTGACGACGGGGAACCGTTGTCAGCGGTCACATAGTGAGGCACTCAACACTGACTCTAACCTAGACAGTCAGCATATGAACCCCCGGCTGTGATCAGAAACACATTTTGTAACACCATGAAGCAGCCCCCAAATCAGGGAGTTCAGCTTTTTAGCTCGCTGCTGCTCCTATGATGTTCGAATCTACTCCAGTTCAAAGAATGCCCCCTCTCCCTGCCCCATCTTCCTTTCTGAGGCTGGGGCTGTGGCTTCCTGCTCCCGGCAGGCTGTAGTCCTCCCGTGGCCTCCTGGCCGTGCTGCCCTGTGGCCCCCGGTTACACCCCCTCCTCAAGAGGACCAATGGGGACAGCCAGCCAACTGCACCTCCCCCCCACCAAATACAACAACAACAACAACAACAATAATAATAATAATAGCAGGACCGATCAAGTGCCTGCCATGCCCCGCACTTGGCCTTTACGCAGCGCAACTGGAGAGGAGAATTAGTGTTACCCGGCTCACCTCCACAGAAAGCTGCGGGAGCTGAATTGCTAAGCAGTTAAATTACTCAGTCCCACAGCTCGAGTCTGGCTCCCAAAGCACCCCCTTAATCTAGATCCATAACAGGAGTACGGTGGGGGACAGACCGACAGCCCCAGTGCAGGAGAAAGGGAAGCAGAGGAGGGGAATTCAGTCCAGCCTGGAGATGGCATGGAAAATCACGCGTTCCAGCAACTTCAGACTGTTAAGTTTCTGAACTGCCGGAAGCTGGGAGTAAAACTGGTTGTTGGTGCGTTTGTCACCATCTCAGAAGCATCTGTGGTTCAGACTTGGGCTGTCTGGCTGCTGGGCTGGACGATCCTCCTCAGTCCCTTCCAGCTCCTGAGCCTGTGGTTCTGTGACCATATAAGGCCAGTGTGCCCAGGGAGTCTCACTGCAACGGAGTGCGTCCTGTGAGGGGGGGGAAGCAGAGAACAGAGCCCAAGTTCAGGCCTCCTGCAAGGTCCCCAAGGCCCTAGAGACAAGGAGCCAAGGCAGGGGAGGATGGTGGTCCCTCCTTGTTTGCCTCTGCCCAGAAATCTCAGACCTGCTCTCCCTCCCTCCCTCCCTCTTTCTCCCCATTTCCACTTGAGATCTCCTCCTGCAGTTGCCTCGCCAGGTTTCCTGAGACTTTCCAGAGACCAGCCAGTGGCGCCGGTCCGAAGTCAAACACTCAGGGCTGCAGAGTCAGCCCTTGGTCCTCCCCTCAGGGTCCCTGAGTTTGGTGTGGGCGCCATTGCAGCATCTAGCTTGGCTTCCCTTTGCCAGTCTGGCTCTGCAGGCATAAGAAATCTGGTGGATTCCCACCCCACCCCAACACTCACACTCACACTTACACACACACACCCGCCTCCAGTTAGTGAGCTCCTTGGAGAGGGGTGGAGCTTGTGCGTCTGCCTACTCCTGGCTCACGTAGTTATGTCCCACTTTCTCTGAGTGCTGTCCAGAGCCCAGCACTGAGCCAAATAACGTGAAGAGGAAGCGAGTTGGCTGGGCTGTGGTACCTGACTTCCAGGGGCTGACAGGCTGGTGGTAAAGACAGAAAATTAATAAGCAAGTCTAGCAGGAGATGATCTCTGCTTATTGTGGTTCTCAAAGTGCAAAGCATGTTTTATCACGACTCTATTAGTTGTAAGTGGCAGAAACCCAAGTCAAATTAGGAGAATGATTGGGCTCCTGTCACTCAAAAATGTAGAGATAGGATTAGCTTCAGGTATGACTGGACCCAGGGGCTCAGATGATGTCTCTGGGACTTGATCTGACCCTCGGATGAAGATCAGTTTCTGGGGCTATTGCGCTATGATACTGGAAATGCCACTGACTGTCGCTAAGCTGTCACACGCAGCCTTACTCCTGCTTTCCAAATCCTGGTGCTGTGTCCTCCAGGGCTCAGACCTAAGCTGTCACAAGAGCCTAGACTCCCCTAGGCTGCCTCTCCAACCCCTAACCGGGGGCACCTGGCTGGCTTAGTCAGTAGAACATGTGACTCTCAATCTCAGGGTCATGAGTTCAAGCCCCACTTTGGGAATGGAGCCTCCTTAAATAAATAAATACATACGTACATATGTACCTACATACATACATAAATAAAAATAACCCTGACCAGACGCCTCTTTTCCTTGCCCCACACTCCTTGCACTGATACCATAGGACATGTTCTGATACTCACTTTGTGTGTGAGATCTCTGGATCCTCTGGGAGCCTGGATACAGGGATCTAGGGCAGAAGCGGCTCTGCCTCTCAGCATCTGTCTGGTAGTCACGAGTAGGGTCTCGAATGCCACTCTAACGCTTACCAGCTGTGTGACCTCAGGTAAGTGGCTTAGTCTCTCTGAGCTTCGGTTCTCTCATCTGTAAAGAGATAATAATAGTTTTCATCTCCTAGGATTGTTTTAAAGATTAAATGAGAGGGTATGTGTGAAGCACAGAAGGCAGAGAGTAAATCCCCCAACAACTACCGCTGTTCTTTTTTTGTTCCTTGATACCAATGAAGGAAATTCTGTTTGGGGGGTTCTGGTTTTAGAATGCAACTATCACTACTCACAGCTATCATTTATATATACTTACTATATAGTAGGCATTTTGCATTTATTCCTCACAACAGTTCATCGCATAGGAGAAACCCAAGACCTGAGGGTTTAAATCCTTTACCAGTGACACCCAGCTCATCAGGATAGAGCTGGGGTTGCCCACATCTGTCTGGCGCCTGAGCCCAAGAAGTCAGCCTCCCACTGCTCTTCTCTGCCTCTCGGATGACATGGGGAATAGAAAATAAAGGGGTCTCAAGTGAAACTTTTAAGGATATATGACTCAAATCCCTGCTGAGGGTGCAGGGTTGGGGGGAGAAGATGAGGAAGGTGGCATGAAAGCAATACTAGGGCTGACACTAAAAACATCAGTGTTTTTGCCTGAATGATGGGATTACTAATAGTATGTTTTGGTTTGGTTTGGTTTGGTTTTGGTGTTGTCTTATATGGTCCAACTTTCCTTACTGGTAGTAAGACCAATATACTTACTACTTGGTAAAAGCCAACATAAAATTCTACCCTGAAACAGGAAGCCCGATTTTAAGCTACTGTCCACCCATTTGAACAAGTAATGGAACTAGTAGTCATGATTGGAGCAAGTTTTCCCCATATTGCCTCATTTCTTTAAACCTCCCATGAAGCTAATTTATTTTAGCCCCCAACCCCCCGCCCGGGCACCAGGCTGAGACCTTCCAGGTGGTTTCCCACTCAGTCCAGCCCAAGGACTGAGGTGGGGTAGAAAAGTAAAGAGCCCGTGCTCTATTCCTGGACTGAGAAGACATTAGGCCAATTACTTAATCTCTCTCAGGCTCACTTCCTCTACTGTCAAGTAGGTATAATAAAAACCTGGCCTCCCTGCCTTAGTAGGTGCTATCATGACCAATACTAATAGGTGTATGAAATTATAGTTGTGTCCCAAGTGGGGGTAAGTTCTGAAGGCCACCAAGGGTCTCGAGAGTATTCCCAGGATACTGGTAAGGCCTGCTGGTCCAGAATGATGAATCAAAAACTCACTGTACTGGCTTCCTGGAAGAGAGTATCATGGGGAGTCACAGACCCCAGCTGCTCGTCTCAGGTCACACAGCATGTCCCACCCTCAGAGGGGAGTCTGGTCTTGGAGCTTGGGTAACAACGGGCTTTTTTATATAGCTTTTAAGTTGTCTAAAATTTATATTATATGTCTTAACTTACCATGCTGTACTGTTAAGTGCTTCGTGTATATGAATTTTTCAACAGTATATTTCCATTTTATCCCTCCCATCCTCTGTGCTATTGTTGCGTAAGTTTTAGTTTTACTTATGTTATAAATATCACAATACCTCTTTTTTAGCCTTTTTCCTCTCTTTACTTATTTTGGATCATTTCCATTGCTTATTGTTCAAGGTCACTAATCCTCTATGGGCTAATCCCATACAGTGAAATTTTTATCTCAGATATTTCATGCCTAGCTGTTCCATTCTGTTCTTTTTATGTCTTCCATTTCTCTACTCATTATGTCCACATTTTTCTTTAATTTCTTGAAAATATTTTAAATGGGTGTTTTTAAAGTCTTACTAGTTAATTCCATCATCTCTGTCACTCCTGAGTCTGCTTCTATTGACTGATTTTTCTCCTGCTTGTGGTCACCCTTTGCTCCTTTGCATAGCCAGGAATTTTGTACTGGATGCGAAATATTAAAAATATTATATTGTTAGGTGTCTAATTTTGTTGTCCTCATTTAAAGAGTGTTGCACTTTATTCTAAGACAAGTTACTTGTGGGTCAGCTTGATGTTTTTGTGTCTAATTTTTGAGCTTCCTCAGGGCATGTCTGAAGTAACTTTTACTCTAGGGCCAGTTTAGCCCTACTACTATGGCATGAGCCTTCCGGAGTCTCTGCTGAGTGTCCTCAGGGTTTAATAAGGGCTCTCCACTCTGCCTGGTCAGAACTTGCACATCTCCCAGCCTTGGGTGAGCTTTGGGAGGTGTCCAGCTTATAAGCTCCCTGATGCTTGCTTCTTGCTGACTCATGCAATCCCACCCTATTCAGCCCAAGACTCAGGGAGATGCCTGTTCATGCATGGAGAGCTTCTTCTCTCTCTCTCTGTAGTTTTTTTCTCTCTGATGCTTTGCCCATGAAATCCCAGCTACCTCAGCCTTCCTGAACTTTGATCTTTACCTCATCAACTCAGTAAGACTGCTCTGCTCTGCTTGGGCTCTCCCTCCCTGCATTGAGGGCTGATAAATGCCTCCTAAATGGAAAGCCATGGCAACCAGAGGACTCAACATGTTTGTTTCCCTTGTCTCCAGGATCGTAGTCCTGTACTGTGCCTGAAACTGCTTGTTTCATATATTTTCTCTAATTTTTTAGTTGTTTACAGTGGGAGCTAGCAATTTCCTCTAAGATCCCTCTGGGGTAGTGCACCAATGATCCAGTCTGGGTGTGTCTTCCCTCTAGAAACTTGTACAGAAATGGATCTAGGGTTAAAGAAGTCTAAGAAAAGTCAGAAGGGTCATTCTGATTTGCTTCTTAGAGAAACCCAAGATAAAGACTCACCACCCAATATCAAGTCAAATTTTACGAGAATTGTTAGTGTCCATCAGCTAAATAAAATGTGGTATATCCATACAATGGAATATAAGTGGGCAATAAAAAGAGATGGAGTACTGGAAAATGCTATAGCATGATGAATCTGGAAAGCATGGTGCTAAGTGAAAGAAGCTAGTTATGAAAGACTGTGTAGTGTATGATTCCATTTATATGATACATCCAGAATAGGCAAATCTGTAGAAACAGAATACAGATTAGTGGTTGCTTACTAGGCAGGGGGTTGGGGAGTGACTACTAATAGGTAGAGGGTTTCTTTTGGAGAAGGACGAAATGTTCTAAAATTAGACTGCAGTGTTGCCCAAGCTTGTAAATGGACTAAAAAACATGAACTTGCACATTTCAGGTGGGTGGATTGTATGGCATGTGAATTATATCTCAGTAAAACTCTTTTTAAAAAAAGATTTGCGAGCAATTTCCTTCTGCGCTGAAGGTAATGAAGGGATGGGAAGGTGCTGTGGTGGGATGGAAGAGAAGCCTCACCCCTTAGATTGATGTATGTCCGTACTGGATGGAGTATTCAATCCTGAACAGAAACGCATGACCCGTGAAGAGTGTGCACGGTTATCTTGGGGGTGGTGGTGGCTCCTGTCCGAGGTTAGTCTTCGACACCATTCACTCCTTCTTAATTACTTCAACTGGAAGAGAATCCGTGCCAAGTTTTAGTTTTATGACCTCTTCCCAGCCTTCTCTCCTCTCTGGAACCTGGGGAGCAGTGAGCATGTATTGAGTGACTACTGTGTGCAAGGAGAAGGGACATTAGGGCACATCTAGCCTTACCCCTGACCTCAGAGGATCCTGAGAACAGGAGAGCAGAGAGTGTCACATGGCCTCTGGGAACTGTAATGTCACCTATATGTCCCCTGTGTCACTGTTCAGAGCCACTAGAATAAGGGTGACATGGTAGTCAAATCCCAGACGAGAATGGAAGAGCAGGTGCACCCTTTCTGTGGAGTCTTCCATGGTCAAAGATGAAGACGGTTCATTTAAGTGAGTCCTCTTACCTTCAAGCACTGTGAGTTTTCCCTGAAAGAAAAATTATTCGTTTGCAGGCTTTTTGCAGGGGTCTTTATCAACATAATTCTAAGTGGAAATTTAGGTTAAGACCCTGAGCTTTGCTTAAAAATACTAACGGCTCACATATATTGAATTCTTACTGTATACCCCCCCCACCCCCCCACCGTTCATAGGACTTTCAGGTACACTCAGCTCCTTGCTGACGCCATCTCTCTCACTGTGTACAAGGAATGGAAAAAGACTATATTTCTTTTTGCCACTATTCTGTTTTCCTGCTGAATTTTCAGTAATTCAGGTAGAGTCTTCCTTCAGCTCAGGAATTCCGCATCCAGGTCGGACCCTACCCTTGGCCAGCTAAGCCAGCAGGTTGGCCCCAGAGGCTCGACAGGTCTTGGGCTCTCGGTGCCGAGTGAGGACAGTACACTCATCAGATACGGCCTGTGTGCTTTTTCTCTAGGATCATCCACGAAGATGGCTTCTCTGGAGAAGACGTGAAACAGTATAAGCCTGTTGTCTACAGCAACACCATCCAGTCACTGGCAGCCATTGTCCGGGCCATGGACACTCTGGGCATCGAATATGGTGACAAGGAGAGAAAGGTAGGCTGCTGAGCCCATGGGCACTGTAAGGAGAAGGCCTGTCCTCCTTATAATGTCGGCTGCCTCATAGAAACCAGAAGAGAGTGCTGTCTATGATAGAGAAGGCTACTCTCCAGCCCAAGCCAGTGCACCAGTCAGCCTAGCAAATTCGGTCAAACAGGGGTGTAGGTGCTGGGCACACCTCCAAAGCAAAGTCAACAACAAAGACGACAGCCTCCAAATGCCAGGGTTTATTCTGCATATGACAGAGGGTTGCTGATGTCTTAAATTGGGACTCCCGCAGCATTATACAAGTACTTACCCTTGGGCAATTAACTTGAACCGAAGTATTTCTCAAACCAGACGAGAAATACCTGAGCACCATCTCCCCTCCTCAGGAGAGCATCCCTTGCCTTCTTGGGAGCAGGCTGTAGCCATTTGGATTTGACTATCTATCTCCTCCTTTACACCAGGGGATGTGTTGTCTGCCTCTCCTGGGTGAGCTGGAGGGCCTAAGGGGCTCTCCTTCCTGTAGGAAGTTGATATCCTAGAACAGGGACTGTTTTACTTTTTTTTTTTTTTTTTTTAATTCCAGTGAGTTAACATACGCTGTTAATAGTCATTTCAGGTGTGCAATTTAGTGATTCAACACTTGCATACAAGGGACTGTTTTTCAGTTGAATTCCCAGGTGTCTGATAAGTGGTGAATGGAATAAGTGTATAAAAGCCTCTTATTTGCAAACATTTGCATTAACCATAAGACTGAAACATATACAGCTATACTTGGCAAAACTAAACAAAAGAGAGAGGGAAGGAAGGAAAAACAGTCTTAGAGAATTCTATCCAGAAGTGGCTCTATGTCCCCTGGTGAGACTGTGAATCCCAGCAAACCTTTCCCTCTGTCCTGGAGGGCAGAGAAGAAGAGCAAATGGGGAGGTCTTTGAGTGCCGAGGCCCACGCATCAGAGCCTTTGGATAGAGAGAATTCATCTCTGATTACTGTGTGATTCAGTTGTACGTTGTACGTATCCTGTCTTTGCTAAAAAAATCATCTCCTTCCCAGAGGAAAACTATCCTTGCTTCTGGGTCTGATGAGGACCCTTTGATAGATAGCTTTAAGTGTAAAATTCAATATTTTATGCACAACATTCTAATTCCATGGGACCGAGTCATGCCAGCTCTGGCATGGGCTTCTCCTCCTTGCGGGGGTGGGGTGGATGGGGGGTGATTTGTTGATGGAGGGTGTGTCCGAGGCCAGCCTGGGCCAGGGAAGCAGGGCCCCTCCCACTGCTCCTCTGGGAGGCCGAGTTCTGCAACCAGTTCTGCAGAGGAAGCTCTTCCCACTGGGGGGACCGGCTTTGGTTTCGGCCAGAGAGCCAGGGCCCGTGGAAAGAGGGGTACCACTAGTGCTTGTCTTATCTCCATTACATATAAGCCGACAGCTTCTAGTGGGCCAGGCACTGTGCTGGCTGCTGGGGATCCAGGAATGAACCCAGTGGGGGTGGCACACCGAGAAACCAGGCATTTAGTGCATACATACTCCCATCATCAGAATCAGCCTAGCAGGTTACAAGGCTCCATTTCTTTTAATAATAGTAATGGTCACGGTGATAATAGAAAGGGCTGTCTTTTATGGCGCACCTCCTTGCTGCCAGGCTCTGCGCTGAGCATTTTACATATGCTAACTCATTTTCATTAACTCGGGCATGAAAACCCAGAGCAGGAAATGCCTGGTGTGATCTTTAGACAAGGACAGGCCATGGGCCTCTTGGCCAGAGGGAGAACAAGGTACCTGAACCTCCATCCCCCAAATGACAGCGACCGTGCAAGAGGCACATGTGTCCACAGCACGTACCTGCCGCACAGACACACACATATGTACGTCCACGACCCGTGTGCTCTTCCAAGCGGGTGTGTGCTCACTGTCATGCCTGCCTCCCAACCGTTTCCCTCCCAAAAACTTCCTGCCCTGACCAAAACACAGAAATTCATTCTGACTTTGGAATTCTTTTCTCCTTCAGTTCTGAAAGCACGACTTATTCCTGTGGGATTCCCGTCCCCCGCCCCACCATTTGATTATGCTGAACAGAGAGGTGATTGCTTGGGAATCGCTGGGAATACAGTGTATCAAGGATGGCGCTGGGGACCCCTGGGGCCTCTGTGGGTCTTTCTCTTCTTTGAGGTTTCCCCCTCAAGACAGTCATCAAGCAGGGGGCCAGGGAAGGTAAGAGTACAGAGGGACACCAGGAACAGAGTGGAGATGCCGGGAAGAGTCTGCTGGACATGGTAGCATTGGAGGCCAGTCCTGTTAACAGTGGGTGCATCACAGCAGGTGTCTGACCCACCCCAAGGGCAGCACCAGCTCCTCAGTCACAACCCTCCTGGCTGACAAAGGCCTCCAGGCCCTTGGGCACCTCTCTGTTATGTCCCCTGTGAGGAGCAGAAAAGTTGACCCAAGACTCAGGCCAAAGTGAGCCAGACATCTGGGGAAGGTATTTTCTGGAAGTGTGCTGGCATGGATTTACCGTCTGGGAAGCTGAGTACAGGGATCCCTATACATTAATCTGGGTTGGGGTGTAGAGGCAACTACTTCAGACTGAAATCTTCCCCTGGACGTGGAAGGGACATTTGTGATGAAACCTGGCTCTGAGAAGGAGCCAGCCATGCAAGCAGAGGGGAACAAAGTTTCCAAGTAAGCACCAAGGCACCAAGGTCCTGAGAAAGAGTGGGCTGGCATGTTGGAAGAGAGAATGCCTGAACCACACCCTGGGAGGTGCTGGGTACTGGAGAAGGTACTGGACGTCTTCCAGTCAGATCTGCCTACAGCCAGCCAGATGGTGTCCAGATGCCCTGACCCAGGGCTGGGTCTCCAATCGCTTTCTCTTTCCTCTCTCGGGTCCCCAGGAGGGGCCGATGTGGAGGATCTGCTATTTGGATGTTGTGACAAGTGCCCCATACAGAGCAGATCCAGATTCATGTTTTGGCCTCCAAAGACCTCCTTTATTCTCTTGGCTTCTCCCCTTCTGCCCTCCTCCCCTAACCCATCATGAAATATCTAGAGGAAGACAGCCCCACATCCAGAGTCTGCTTGGGCCAGCCAGTTTTGCAGTCTCCATACAAAAAAGCATCTAGAAGCTTCCTTGCTGTACCTCATTAGAACAGGTGTCCCTGACTTCTCTTGGTAGCTGGCTCATCACCCCTCCTGGCTCCCCAGTGGAGGGAGGAGCGACTGCTTTCTCCTTCAGCCTCTCTGTGCATGAGCCCAAGCCTGAAGAAGCCACTACATGGAGGCAAGCATCCGGGATCCCCTTACAGCAGTCTGGGGCTTCCACATCCCATGTCCCGGGCACATCAGACCACAGACCCTCTCCCCAAAGACACCACTCACTCGTATGCCTCCAGGCCTTAGTTCAGGACATACATCTGCTTCCAGTGCCCTTCGCCCCTTCTCTTCCTCCTGGAATTCCTCCTGTTGAGTGAGGCCCAGCTTAGCTCCTTTCTCTTCCATCCCCTTGACAGCAGAACTCAGCTCAAGGCTTTCCCTCCATTGAGTGCTTACCCATGCACCGGTATGAAGATTGGGTATGTTACTCTTTCCTTAGAGCTGCGACCCTTGTGCTCTAGGGTGATCAAGATCCTTTTGAGCAGCTAATGAAAGCAGTGAGCCTTCTCTCCAGAACAGTGCACACATGCACACATCTGGGAAATCCCACATACAATTTCAGGGGGCTCTGGCACTCATAAAGCCTGGAATAAGAACTCCTTCATGATTTTACGTCCTTCTGCCCATAGCCTGTGTCATTCATCTTTCAGTCCCCTCCTCACACAAACAACCTGCACAGGGCTCAGAATATAGTAGGCCTTCACAAAAAGCCCCTTGAGTGAAATGACATGTCTCAATTCCTCAGCTGTCACAGAAAAAAGGAAAAGTACCTGTGATTCATCACTAAATGAGCAGATACTGACTGAGTACCTACTATGGGTAGGCTTTGAGCTAAGTGTTCAGAGGTATGTGACACAGAACCTTTAAGGAATTGATCTTTAAGGAGTTTATTTAAAACATATGAACATATGGGAAGGTGGAAAAAAGAGAGAGAGGGAAACAAACCATAAGAGACTCTTAACAATGGTGAACAAAGTGAGGGTTGATGGAGGGAGGTATGTAGGGGATGGGCTAGATGGGTAATGGGCATTAAGGAGGGCACTTGTGATGAGCACTGGGTGTTGTATGCAACTGATAAAACACCAAATTCTACTCCTGAAACCAATATTACACTATATGTTAATGAACTATAATTTGGGGGAAAAGGGAGTTGATCTCCTTGGGAAGACAGGGCTCACAAGCTGAATGCACTCAGCCATCACAAGGCAGTCAGGGAGAGCCTCTTAGAGGAAATGAGGCTGGCACTGACCTTGAAGCAGGGGTGTAGCTTGACAAGGGCAGATATGGGTAAGGAAAAGGACTTGAAGCAGGAGGAACAGGAGTAAAGACAGTGGGTTGGTAGTGACCAAAACAGATCTGAGGGACAGAGAAGGCCAGTGGCCAGAACGGAAGGTTAGGGTATGGTGAGGTGTGGGAGAGTTAGAAGATGCAGTGGGGTCCAGACTGGGGGGGATGCGGGAGCTTGGAAGGTGCACCGAGGAGGTTGGGTTTGATCCCGGTGGCAACAGGCAGCCATTGTTAGATTTCTGAGGATTTCTGGGGAGGGGTGGGATGAAAGTGAGTTTTTAGGAGAGTCTCATGATGGCCTGTGTAAGGGTGGAGGGATTAGTAAGAGGAGGACTGCAAGTAGGGAGGAAGGCTTGGGAGCTACAGGGAATGACACACATGCAGAGCTCGGTTCTCCATGGGGGTTGGAAAAGAAGGGGAGCAAAGTGATGTGTGGTGATGAGAGGAAGGGGAGAGCCTGGGATTGATGGGCTGCTGGGGCAGAAGGGTGAGGATCTGGAGACTGGCTTACTGAGCGCGAGTAAAACCTGGAGCAGCAAGCAAGAGATGGGGCTGGACTGGGCCCAGTGTGC